TTGTAATCTGCTAGGTTACTATCAAATGCTTTGGATTACTTCTCATAGATGATAATATCATTACTATAATAATAATAATAATAATAATAATAATAATTTTTTTTGTAATTGTAAAATTTTTTGTAATTTTTTAAATACTATGTGTGTTAAATTATATTGTAAAAAGAAATAACAATGAAAAATAATTGAAATTTAAGAAATTTGCAAAAATTTTGAAAATAATAAAACATTTTGTTTCTTTTTTTTTACTTATTATCAAAAGAATTAGCAATGAATTAGTAAAAAATAATCGTATAATTTATAATTAACATTAAATTGAACCTAAAATGAAAACAATGTAAATATATAAATCAATTATTTGAAATTGAAATAAAGAAGAAGAAAATTGATTGCTCATGTTTAAAAAATGATTTTTTTAACAGATTTGATTATCTAATTAAGATCAAAGTAGAATTTTTTTTTTTAATCATCCATCTCTCCTCTCTCTCTCTCTCTCTCTCTTCTATATTTCATGAATTAAATATTATCAAATACTATCATGATACTACATTTCTGGAAAATACTTTTGTTCTACTTATAGGGCGTATTATTGACTGAGTAAGCTTTTAGCAGGGATATTGTTTGATGTTTTTGTAGTTTTGCTGTTCGATACGCTCTAATTTATGCATCGATGTTTTTGTTTGTTTTTTTTTTTGTTTACAAAATTTATGTTTTACTGATTTTTTAATTATAGCTATAAGCCAATCATTTATGTAATAAACATATTCTCATTTACTTAAAATTAATATTAAATACGCTCTAACTTATGCATCGATGTTTTTGTTTTTTTTTTTGTTTACAAAATTTATGTTTTACTGATTTTTTAATTATAGCTATAAGCCAATCATTTATGTAATAAACATATTCTCATTTACTTAAAATTAATATTAAATACGCTCTAACTTATGCATCGATGTTTTTGTTTTTTTTTTTTTGTTTACAAAATTTATGTTTTACTGATTTTTTAATTATAGCTATAAGCCAATCATTTATGTAATAAACATATTCTCATTTACTTAAAATTAATATTAAATACGCTCTAACTTATGCATCGATGTTTTGTTTTTTGTTTACAAATTTAAGTTTTACCGATTTTTTAATTATAGCTATAAGCCAATCATTTATGTAATAAACATATTCTCATTTACTTAAAATTAATATTAAATACGCTCTAACTTATGCATCGATGTTTTTGTTTTTTGTTTACAAATTTAAGTTTTACCGATTTTTAATTATAGCTATAAGCCAATCATTTATGTAATAAACATATTCTCATTTACTTAAAATTAGTATTAAAAATTTGACAACAATCAATCCGAATCATTGCGGTCCTTAACATCTTCTTGACTTTTCACTATTACTGCAAAAACTTATACCTAAATGCAAATTGTCTCTATTTAGTTACAAAACAGTCTATAGAATCCGTTCCATTTATGATTTAATTTTCGTTTTCCGTTTTTTTTTTTTTTAATAGTTTTTATTTTCTTATTTAGCTTTCAGTGTCATTTGTTTTCGTTTTTTTTTTGCTTTTCACCTTTCTTATTTACCTATTTATTTTTGCAGTAGTAGTTAAGAGTTTTACCTGTAACAGGTCTATTTTTACTATGGTTAACCACTCATATATTTGAAGTTTTTTTTTTTTTTTACTCTAATTTCTTTAGTGATTTTGTTTTCGAAATTTTTGATAATATTTTGATCAAAATTTATTTATTAGACTTCGTATATTATTACTTGTTTATCTCTTTTCTATATATTTTTTCTAAATTTCACTGATTTCATGCTTCCTATTAATTAAATTTTAATTCTTAGAAGTTTTCCCTAAAATTATTTCGTTTTACTTTTTTATTCCCTTCTTTTTAAATTAATTTTAAACTATATCTCCTTGCTATTTCTCATAGCCCGTGTTTTTTTTTTTTATTATTACTTTCCTCATTTTTTGGTCATCTTGGTTCTGCATGCTTTTTTGTTTTGTTTTTTTATATATTAAATTATTTTAATTTTCTCTTTCAAATGTCTTTTTATTAATTATAGTTTTTGTATGTTTTCTGTGATTACTTTAACCTTGTGCATGTCGTTTTGCCAGCTTCACTAATTGCATGCATTTTTCTATTACTATTATTTAGTACATGCCAACCTCATTGAATACATTTTTGGCAAAATGTAATAAAAATTAAGTAAAAAAAGCCCAAAATAAGGTCGTTAAAAAAAAAAAAAGCAAAATTAAAAATTAACTTTTAAGTGGTACAAACAAAAGCGACCAAAACTAAATGACAGCGTAATATATATATTTACTAAAAAGCACGACTTATGTCAAGAAACACAAAATTGGTAAAATTGCCTACCACTGGTTACTGTAACCACTTGCTGCCACTTGCCACTGCAACCACTTGCTACCACTTGCTACCACCTGCCGCTGCAACCACTTGCTACCACTTATCACTGCAGCCACTTCATACCACCTTCCGCTGCAACCACTTGCTACCACTTATCACTGTAGCCACTTGCTACCACCTATCGCTGTAACCACTTGTCACTACAAGTCGCTGCAACCAATTGCTACCACTTGTCACTGTAACCACTTGTCACCACCTGTCGCTGCAACTACTTGCTGTCCCTTGCTAACCGTCTGCTATCGCCTGTTGATGTGACAATTGCGACCACCTGCCGTACAAGCAGCAGTTGGTTGTAGGTGGTTACGATAACAGTTAGCCACAAACTTGCAGCAGTAAGTGGTTACTGTGGCGTTATTGCAACAAGTGACTATTGTAACACGTGGTCACAGGCGGTTATAGTTCACGGTAGCATGTGGTTGCATATTTACTCACCATTTTATATCATTCTTTTAAAAAATAATAATATCAATTAAAAAATAATTATCAAATGTTTATCAAATATGGTATGGTCAAAAGAATGGTAAAAGATTGTTAATGAATAAGTAGTGATGTGATCAATAAGATCATCAATAAAGTCATTTCATCTTGAACAATTTCATCTCACTCAAACGATTGAATTAACATTCAATTTTCTCACTTTATCAATTTTTAAAACTCATTTTAAATTGTTGAAAAATTCCTGAAAAGTTTACATTTTCAAAGAAAAAAGTTACATATAGAAAGTATTTCTATCGATTTATCATTCTTTTTTTGTTAACATTCCTCCATTCTCTCTCTTTCATTTTAAATTTGTGCTCACAAAGTTGTCAAATTGATCGATCCACGTCCATCAGTGTTGCTCTTATTGTGCTATCGATTTGAGATCTAAGCAATTAGCCATTGCTCTTATCCTTTTCCTATTTTGATTCTTTTCTGCATCATTTCTACTATTCCTTCTCTCATACTTTCTCTCACTCACCCTCTCTCTCCCTCTCTCTCTCTCTCTCTCCATTTCTCTCTCTCTTCATTAAAAGTAGAAGCACATTTTCCATTTCATTCTGCAATATCGAAAAATGCTTTTCCTAGTTCTCTTTGCGTCCATGTGAAGTATTTATTATGTAATTCAGGACAATTTGTATTTATTCATTAATTTCTCTCTTATTAATTACTTAAAAAGTGGAGTGATAAGTGAGAATAACGATAATGATAGTGATAATGATTGATAGTGATGATAATGATAGTGATAATGGTTGGTAGTGATGATAATGATAATGGTTGATTGAATACATTGTTGTAGTATAGTGGCATAGTGACCACCGCAGTTAGGAAAAGGAACGATAGCCATTGGAGAAACATATTTATGAAATAGGAAAGGTCAAGGTTAACTTATTCCTCTCAGTTGTTGACTAATTCATGTGTTTATATTTTGACCTATATTTATTTCAATAGTTCTATGATTAATCATAACTAAATTACAATCGCTATAGTATATACTACCTTTTTATATTTGCCAATTCGTATTATAATCCATTTTCTGCTACGTTAATTTCATTTATTTTATAATTTGTAACTTTTGTAAAGATAATAATAAATGAACAGTTATTCATATTTTAAAAGGATATAAAATTTGTTTATATTTGTATAATATTTGTTGTTTTATTAAATATTAATTAGATAGCATTTATTGCTAATTAAATAAATGATATATAATATTTATAATTGTATTATATTAATTGAATAATTTTCATTAATTTAAATTTCATTCATACGTTCATTTATTTTTTTTTATTTTCTTTTACGTTCATAATTTAATTTGTTTTTGTTTATTTCTGTTTTTCTAATTATTTATTCGTTCATGTTTACATTTATATGATTTATTTTTCTTTATCTCTTTTACCCATATCACTTCACTTCGTCACTTTTTTATTTACTTTATAATCGATTTTTTAAAATTTTTATCTACTTGTCTACTTCTTCATATATTTATTTACTTATGTGTTTCGACTAATTTATTTGTTCCTTCATATTTACATAATTTATTTGATCAGCAACAGTTTAGCATATACTAATTGATAAGACAAGAAATATTAAATGATAATAAATGATAAAAACGAACTGTTCGTGACGAAAGAAACAACGAAAAACTAATTAAATAATTTAAAATGTATGTGATTTGAGGACTAAAGCGTATGTATGATTCATTGATTAAACACATATATGATTTACTGATTAAGCGCGTGTACGTGATTTATTGATTAGACGTGCATAAGTGATTTATTGATTAGACGTACATAAGTGATTTACTGATTAAGCGCGTGTACGTTATTTACTAATTAAGCGCACATACGTGATTTATTGATTAGACGTACATAAGTAATTTACTGATTAAGCGCGTGTACGTTATTTACTAATTAAGCGCACATACGTGATTTATTGATTAGACGTACATAAGTGATCTACTAATTAAGCGCACATACGTGATTTATTGATTAGACATACATAAGTGATTTACTAATTAAGCTCACATATAACTGAAAGCACATTTGCTAATTGAATTTTTCCTATTCATAATATTTTAGATTTTCAACGATGGGACGAAAAGATGTTGGCGATTTTATCGAGTTTGGTAAATATACTGGCTTCCTTTGTTTACTGTATGAGTTATTGGTGGTATCACAAGTTAGTAATCTTATCTACATGATTTATGGAGGTATGCTTCCATTTTCATTTTACTCTTTTTTCTTCAAAATTTATTTATTATTAAAAGTTTTTACAGAAAAACTTTTTTCTTGCTATAGTTTTTATTAAATAATTAAATTTTATTAAATAAAATTTTCTTAATATTTTACTTATATTTAACATTTCATATTGAAATATTCCAGATTTACATTTTTTGTTCATTTGTATTTAATAAATATTGCAAGTGCTCTCTTTTTTTTTTTTTTTTTTTTTTTAATTCTGAAATAAATAGTTTTAAAGATTAGGTCATTTATTGATTAACTTTTAGTTTATTTTCATTTTTTTTTTTCTTGTATCAGTATTTTCAAAAAGAAAAAAATTATTTTTTTGGAATATTTATTTCCTAAAAAATTTTTTTCGTCAATTTAAAAAAAAAAAAGAAATAAATGAATAAATTGAATGAAAAATTTACTTCCGTTTTTACTTGTAAGTAAGAAAACTTTGGAACTACTTTTTTGTTGCTAATTTAATCTGCAATCTGCAACGAACATCATTTATGTAATTTAGAAATAATTTATTTATAATTAGAAATAATTTAGCAAATATTCGTTTTCAAATTAAAACATCTAAATTCTAAAAATTTTACTTATTTTTTTTTTAAGTGCAATATATACCAATTTAATTCGAGAAACTTTTTCGAGAAAATCTTTTTTTTTTTTTGGAAAAATGTTTTGACATAAAGAATTTCTAGTAGAAGAATATTTGATCTAAATTGTATTTTTTGTAAATATGAAGAAATGATGGTTGGTGATATTTCCTCTGAGAAATTTACCATTTTTTTTTTATTAGTATAATAATAATAATTAGGGTAACTGTTTGTATTAAAAATTTAAAGAAAAAAAAATTAGGAAATAACTTTATATTATTATTCAGCAATGTTAGTTGTTTATCAATTGATCAAAATAGTGGTTTAACTAATACTTATATATATATACCTGCATACCTTTATTCCATATTAATCAGTCAAACTGATAAGGATGTCAAAAAAGTTCTAATCATTCTAATCATTCTTCATAAGTTCTAATCATTACTATCATCATCTCTTTGGTAATATTTAATTAATTAATTTGGAACTGAAAGTATCATGCACAAATAAGTTATCACAACTTTAACAAGTATTAATTAAATTTCTTGATCATGTTTTTTTTTTTTTTTTTATTATTATCTGTTGTGGTAATGTACCGGTTCACATGAGTGACTTTATCTTATCACTTTTATCACTTAGATAGCATTTTGGATAAGAATGCACTAGATTATATCACCAAATCTATTAATTTAGGTGAAATAGGTACTCCGATTACGAATGAATGAAATTAGTAATTAGTTTATTTATTTGTTTATTTATTTCACTTTAAGTTAATCTTTTTTTTTTTTTTTGCGCTTTTCACTTTATTTAATTAGCATACATTTCAGTTATTGTATTTATTCGGTGATTAATTCACTGATAAAATGACCGTCTTGATAAGTGTCTTAATATCTTTTTTACATTTTTTTTTTTTTAAATTTATGAGATATAGTAATTTAAGTTTATATAAGAAACAAAGATCCTACTAATAAATACAAAATGAATATACTCTAGCAAATTTTTGTGTATTATTTTTTAAATTTAATTTGATAAGCTAGAGAAAAGTTAGCCAATAAATAATTAATAAGCATTTTTAGACATATGTGTGTATTTGATTTCTTATATTCTTATCTTATCATATAATCAAATCATATAATTTACTCATACTTCTTTGTGTTAATAAAATAATTTGGAATATTTCAAATATTTGAGTGTTTAAGTTATTGAATTTATTTTCAATATTTTCTTGCTAAATGAAAGTCTAAAATACCACTAAAGTTTCATTTGCAAAAAAGGAATGAAATGAAGTTTTCATGATATATAAAAAATGTAAGAGAAAATTTTAATTTTCATTTTTAATTTGAAGATATATTTAAATATATAAATATTTAAATTATATGCATGCTTTTTATAATATGTATTCTAACATACAATGAAAAGAATAGAATTTTATTATTAGTTGATAGAACACGATGATATTTCATTTTTTTTTTATATCATAAAGATAATAGAAATTTAATTTGCATTATCATTTTAGATAATGATAATAGGGCTTGTAATTTATTAAACTTTAAAATTACTTTTAAAAAGAGTGTAATCTTACTATTAAATTAAAAGCTGTTCATTGTACAAATACCTTTGTTTTAAGTAAAATTACCGCTTATCAGTTGCTTATCAGTTCTTATCATTTTAGGTGCTGCAACACGTATCGAAGGATGCGATGGTCATATGTTTACTGGTATATCATCAAAACAACAATGTGAGCAATACGATAATTATATGAATTCAACAGGAGAATGTTCAGAACCAATTTTAGGCGCAGATTTTGAATCAGTTGCTTATGAAGTGAGTGATATTTAGTTTGATTAGAATAAAAAAAAAAACTGATAATTAAGTTTGCATTGTTCGTACTTTTAAAACATTTTTTTCCTTTTACTTTTTCCTAAACAATAATATTGCAAAAATTAATAAAAAGTAAGCACTAAATTGAGAAAATCTTAAAAGTATTAAATATCTGATCAATACATCTTACTAGTTTAATCTCTTCCTCCTTTTCTCTCTCTCTCTCCCTCTCTCTCTCTCTCTCCAATAATATTGCAAAAGTTAATAAAAAGTAAGCACTAAATTGAGAGAAAAAATCTTAAAAGTATTAAATATCTGATCAATACATTTTACTAATCTCTTCCTCCTTTTCTCTCTCTCTCTCCCTCTCTCTCTCTCTCCAATAATATTGCAAAAAGTTAATAAAAAGTAAGCACTAAATTGAGAGAGAAAATCTTAAAAGTATTAAATATCTGATCAATAGATTTTACTAGTTTAATCTCTTCCTCCTTTTCTCTCTCTCCCTCTCTCTCCCTCTCTTTCCCTCTCTTTCTCCCTCTCTCTCTCTCCAATAATATTGCAAAAATTAATAAAAAGTAAGCACTAAATTGAGAAAATCTTAAAAGTATTAAATATCTGATCAGTACATTTTACTAGTTTAATCTCTTCCTCCTTTTCTCTCTCTCTCTCTCTCCAATAATATTGCAAAAAGTTAATAAAAAGTAAGCACTAAATTGAGAGAGAAAATCTTAAAAGTATTAAATATCTGATCAATACATTTTACTAGTTTAATCTCTTCCTCCTTTTCTCTCTCTCTCCCTCTCTCTCTCTCTCTTATTCTCAAAGTAATCAATTGTTGGTAAAAGCAGAAAAAACTATTAAATTTGAATTTGATTAAAATTAAAAAATTAAATTTGATAAAAAGAAAAGGCACAAAATAAGTATAAATTACAATATAATATAGTTTGAATATTTCCGATATTTTGAAATTCATGCAATTAATATTTGAATATTTCAGTTTCATTATTTTTGTAATTCAGCGAGCAAAGTTAAAATGAGTATATCGTTGCAAATGATTGGTATTATGTTTGGTGCGATGACATTTGGACAACTTTCTGATATGTTTGGTCGAAGAGCGGTGAATTATTCCTCCTTCAAATTATTTTTTGAATTAATTATTAAATTAATATAATCATTAAAGTCATTAATGTTAACAGCAATCTAACCTTTCTTTTTTGATAATTAGCAAACATTTGAAAATTATTATTTATACTAATAAACACACAAGATATACTCTATATGTTATCTGAGAATACTGAATAATAATAATAATTTAAGTATTCTAATTTTTTTAAATGATTTTTTTTTTTTTTTTTTTGACAGTTAGCAAACATTTGAAAATTATTATTTATACTAATAAACACACAAGATATACTCTATATGTTATCTGAGAATACTGAATAGTATTAATTTAAGTATTCTAATTTTTTTAAATGAAATTTTTCACTAAATGATCACTTTATAACTAACAAATTCATTAGTTCGTTTTATGATAAAATTAATAGTGAATTTTGGTTCAAAAATTACTTAAACATTAGCAACTTTTTTTTTCAAAAAATCATCACTATAACAAAGAGCAATGTTTGTTTACAAATAACAAATTAATATGAAATATTTCAATGAAAATTATTTATTTAAAATAATTTACAATTTGCTCATCTATTCATACAAAAAGAAAATAAAAAAAAAAAAAAAAACAAATAAATAAATAAGTTAAAAACGAAGCAAATTGAATCATTTTGCGTCACATTTTTAGATTCTTTTATTTGGAACAATTGGCTTAATTATTAGCGGTTTAGCATCAACATTCATAAATAATTTGGTTGCTTTCACAGCTGCTCGATTTTTTGTAATGTTTTTCACCGGTGGAAAACATAGGTGAAGCTAAAACATTTTATTATCAATTAAATTTATAAGAAATTTAATTGAAACATAAATTCTTTTTATAGCAATCGATTAAAATGAACAAATTTGAGAAATTTTAATTAATAATAAATGTCTTAAATTCAATCTTTTTTTTTTTTTTTCGACATTTTGATATTATTGTTGCAATATTTTTTTTCTTGTTGAATATATCAAAATTTGAATATTGTTAAATCATTTTTTTTTTTTTTTTTTTTGAAGAAAAACTAGAAGTAAGTTTAATTACAAAAAAGAAAATAAAGTAAATGAAAAATTAAAATATATTAAAAAAATTTGGAATAGATATATTGCTAATAAATTTTCCTAATTTCATATCATTCTAAATTGAACCATAAATAAATAATTAATAATATCCGGAAAAATATATCTTTAGAATTTTTTTTTTTTTTTTTTTTGTAGTGTTTCTTATGTATTTATGATGGAAAATTTGCCTGCTAAACATCGTATGTGGATGGTTACGGTTATTACCTATTCTCCGAATTATATCATTTTTACCGGTTTAGCATATTTAACTGGCGAATGGCGTTTACTGTCTCGTGTTGTCGCTCTTTTAACAGTTCTTCCGGGTATTCTATTAATGTAAGTTTTTTTTTAAAAAAAAAAAAAAAGAAAGCAAAGAAATTGAAATTTCAAATTCTTATCAGTATTTTTTGTTACAGATAATCAAAAAAAAAAAAAAAGATTTTTGAAATTATCATAATCTAATTATAGTTTTCTTCTTTTTTTTCACATTATCATTTATATCTATTCATGTAATTTGTATTGGTTATTATTTACATTTATTATTGCTATTATTGTTATTACTATTAATTACAATTAATCATCAATTATTAATTAATTATTTGTTATTTACTACTATCATTTGTTATTTACTATTGATAATTTTTTATTATCATTAATTTGTTAATTTCTTTAGATTTGCATATGAAAGTCCAAGATGGTTAATTCAGAAGGGTAAAATTGATGATGCTCGTCAAGCGCTTGTTGGTATGAGTAGATGGGATAATAAGAATACTTCGGAACGCCTTCAAGAATTAGATTTTTTGTTGGACAAAGAACGTGAACGTTTAAGAGAGGTATAAAATTTGACTCTTTTTTTTTTTTTTAAAGAAATTTTTTAATACAATTTTTAGCTGAAGAAATTTAAAAAAAAATTTTTGAAAGTTTTGTTTAATTTTAGGCAACTGCAAAATCAAACACGAAGAATTACACATATTGTCATCTATTCTCGAACAAAAATTTTGCATCATATAGCATTCTTTTTGCTTATAGTCTGTATGTTATATTTTTATTATTTTTATTTTTTTTTAAAAAAAAAGATAAAGAGAGAAATGTATTATAAATGATTTTATTTTACTTAATAAATAAAGCATGAAAAAAATTACAAATATTTTGCATAATGAAGTTTTTTTTTTTCTTAAATTTATATTTTATAATTTGATAATTAATTTTTGATTTGATTTTAAACATTATCTCTTATCAGTATTAATCTAATCAACGAATAAATTAAATGATTGATTGATTGATTGATTGATTGATTGATGTTGTAAATTTATTTTATATTAATTAATATTGGTACAATTTCTTCTCTGATTTATTTTGTTACATATTCAAATATTGTAATAAGATTATGAATTGAAGAAATATGAAAATCTATTCCTAGCAAATTATAATTATACAATGAATATTAGAATGAAGTATTCAAATAACTATTTTATGATTTAATTTTTAATTTTCAGGATGATTACAAGCATCATCTCATACGGATTAGTTTTTAATATGGAAAAACTTTCCGGTTCCATTTATCTGAACACCATCATTGTTGGCTCATTGCGCTATGCGATTAATCTTATTTGCGCCATTATTGATATTAAATTCATTTGGGCTGGACGACGTCTTCTACATGGTTTATCGATGTTTTTTATTGCTATCAGTCTTGGCTTCGTCTTTTTGATCATTCTATTTGGTATATTTTTTATTTTATAATAATATTTTATTAAATATACAAATAAAAATTAAATATGAAAGTAAAAAAAAAAAAGTTAAAGATTAAATATATAAATAAAAATTTCAAAAAAATTTTTTTTTATCATACAAATTAAATATATACAAAAAAGTATAATACAAATGTTATCTACAAAAAAAAGTTTTTCTTTTTAGGTTTTAATTTACAAACAATTATTCGTATTACGGCTTTATCAGCAGCAGCAATGTGTAGTCAAATTTACATATTAAATGCTGTCACACCATCAGAACTATTCCCAACAGCTATACGTAATAAGGAAATTGGCTTTATTCAAACATTTAATCGTATTGGCAATATTATTGCACCACAAATTTTTGTTATTGTATGCTTTATTTTATTTTATTTTATTTTTTTTTTTTTAAAAATAATTTTAGAATTTTGTAATAAAATGAAAAAAAAAAAAAAAAAAAAGGCTTAAAAGTTAGCTTTGTTGAACATACATTAAGTGCTAAAATAGTAGTCAAAATATTTAAATAAACCAATGAGTTAATTATTTAGGAGAAATTTAAAAGTTTATATATGAATTAAACTTTATTTTGAATGAAATTCTCAAAAAAAAAAAAAATGTATTTGTATAATAGTATTACTTTTTTTTTTTTTTTTCGTTGAAATGATAACCAATTTTAGGTTTAATTAAATATGATAATGATATGAAAATGAGAATTGAATTATTTAACTGAATGAGTAGAATTGTTTTGATAAATTGATTAGATAATAATATGATATCTTATTTAATAAACATTATTTTTGCAGTTTTATTCATTAATAATTAAATTGAAAATTATGCAAATTTAGGGTGAACTATGGCCTCCACTTCCGTATCTTACAATGTGTCTTTTTGCTTTGATTGAAGTAATGGCATTTCTATGGATTATTCCCGAAACTAAAGGAAAACCAATGCCTGATCGAATGCCTGGTGATGAGGATACTACTATTAGAGCTGTTAAACCACTGATTAAAATTGATAAGAAAAGTGATGAACGTGTGCCATTAAATGAAATGAAAAAATGAAATTTTGTTTTTTTGAAGAGAAAAAAGAATGCTTTTAAAGCTTATTCATCTTCTAGTCTTTTAAATTTTTTCTTTCAAATAATAAAGATAAGAAAGACGAAATCTTTTTTTTTTTTTTTTTTTTTTTTTTTTAGCATAACTACTTTACGATAAATTTCATAAAATTATTTACCATTTTATTGCCTAGCTAATACTAATACACTTTTCAACACTTTTTTTTTTTTTGATAATTAATTTAAAATGTTAATTAGACGATTCATTTATTGCGAAAAATTTTTGATATAATAATATTTACTTCATCTTTTGAATCATTTAATTCAAATAAAATTTTTATTCAAAATAGTTTTTAAAAATTTTCCATATATTGTTTGAAAATTATTATCAGTGCGTGAGTCTGTTGCATTAAATTCGAATCATTCGTTCGTATAATTCCAAAATATGAATTTTATTTTTTTGCATTTTTCTTTCATTTCTTATGTTTTATTTATTTGCTTATTTATTCCATTATAATTTTTCATTTTTTCATTAAAATTAATGAAAAGATATTGAGTCTTTCTAGTTCTTTTTTTTTTTTTCCTTTTTAAATTCTCTTATCTTTGTTTATTATTATCATCTATCACCATCACTTTACAGTTTTATCATTTATGTTAAGCTGTACCATTTAATTAAGCAGGTTTAGAAAAAAAACAAAAGGCTTATTTTATATATTAATTTTTCTTCATGAATATTTCAATTTTTTTTTAAAAAAATTTAAAAAAGAAAAAAAAAAGATTATTCATTTATGCAACAAACATAAAACACATAACAATTTTTTTTTTTTTTTTTTAAAAATTTAATAGCTATCATTTTAGTTATTTGATATCTCTAGCTAGTCATTTTTTCCTTATGCTTTCTAATCACTTTATCAATGATAAATTTTTTTCAACGTATTCTCAATATACTTACGCTTACGTATTTCACGTTTTTTTGTTTTTTTCTTTTTTTTTTAAAGTTTGTTTTATTTTGGTCAGTATTATTAATTGTCCATGCTTTATGGCTTGTTTTTTTCTTTCTTCTTTTCTCTCTCCCTCTCTCTCTCTCTCTCTCTCTTTTATTATTAATTTAAAGAAATTTTATTTATTTTCATTATTTTGCTTTCTATTTCAAATTTTAAAATTAGTACACTCAGTACAAAATTAATTTAAAGAAATTTATTTATTTTCATTATTTTGCTTTCTATTTCAAATTTTAAAATTGGTACAAATCAAATTTTTTGTTTATATAAATCATATTTGTAAGAAATATTAGCAAATACCATTTTTATAGTCTAATTTTTGCATGTAATTTACTAATTTTTAAGACTAATTACTAAGGTTCGTTTTGTTTTAAATTAAAATTCAATTATTTCTAAGATATCTAATTTTTCATCCATTTGTTTTCTCACATTTATTAGTAAATATTGATTCCTCTCATTAATAAACATTCAATTAGTTCCAAAAAAAAAAAAATTCCTTAATTTCATCTGTTTTTTTTTTTTTTATTTTTCTGTTTACTATCAAAATTCTCATTCTTCATAGCAATCATTTTGATTTTATTGTTTAAATACAATTTTAAATTATCAAATTATATTTTCATTGATTTGTTTATAAGAATGAAATGAGCCGATTTTTTTTTTTTTTTTTAAATTTATTTTATTTTTTAGAAATCTGATTAGATTAGCAGAGAAAATCAAATGATAGAAATTTGATGTAATAACAAAAATTTGCATTTTAAGCATAAATAACTGAAACTAATTCATCAATTTTCTTTCATTCATTGAGATTATTGTTTAATAAACAAAAATAATAATAATAATAATAATAATAATAATAATAATAATATATTTTATTATTATTATTGTTTAATAACAATAATAATAATAATAATAATAATATTAGTAATAATAGTAATCTTTTTATCATTCAATCAGATCATTGTATATCAGAAATGCATAATTAAAATCAGTAAAATGAAATATTATCGAGAATGTAACTACTTAGAAATACAATTATAATTATTGTTTCAAGATAAAGTGAAGAAATAATTAATATCTTCAGTGATTTGAAATATTTATTTATCTTTTGTCATGATTGAAATTATCATAATCAAATGATAACAATCTGTTAATTGTGACCATCTAATTTGCATTGAAGAAAAAAATGCATCAAAAAAAAAAAAAAAAAAAAGTGAATAAATGGATGGATTTGATTACATAATTTTTCATTGTTTATTTTTAAAAATTTAAGAGAGAGTGAGAAAGAGAGGTAGAAAGAGAGGTAAAGAAAAGTAAAAAGAAGCATTATTTAGCTATTATATATACATCTATGTGCTTTGGTAGAATATGGCAACAACATTCGGTAAATTTGATTCAGAGGCAAAATTAATTAATTGTAAAATGTTAAAGAAATAAATTTATGCTTTTTCATTCTTCGTTTCATTGGTTCATTTATTCAAATGAAATTAAAAGATAAGAAATTATCATTGTTAATGTTAGCTAAAAGATTTAGCTTAATTATTACTGTGAGAGAATAATATTTGCATCATTTTAAAATGATTTTAAAATTTTAAAATGCAATTTAATGATAGGAATTATAATTCTTGTACTCATTTAATACTCTAATTTACTGATATATTTTGAAGAGATGTAAGTAGTAGTAAGTGATAAATTATGGAATAAGTGATTATATGATCAAATCAAATTGATTAAATTAACTAAATTAAGTTTTATTCAAGAAAACGACTAAATAAGTTCCATGAATTAAAAAATGATTAAATAATAAATGGATGTAAATTTAGATAATAAATAAATTAAATAATAAAGAAATATGATTAAATAATAAGTAAATGAGTAGAATTAAATTAGTAAATAAATTTCTATTATTTATTTTATATACCTGCATTTAAGACATTTTTTAGTTTCAAAAAATTTGAAAATTTTTTACTTTAAAGTTTATTTGATAAGAATTTTGTTTAATTAAAAAACAAAATAATATTTTATTATTTAATTCTGTGTTTGCAGAGAATGAGTGAAAATCAAAAAAAGCATAGTAAAAGAAGAAAAAAATATGAGAAAGACAGCGAAAGGCATTGTAAAAACAGAGAAAAGTATTATAAGAGTAAAGAAAAAAATGACGAAATTATAGAGGAGAAAGTGTAAGTTATTCGAGAATTGAATTCGAGAATTGACTAACTGACAGATATTTCATTTCATAGATAATTTCATATTTGGTAATTAATTTCTTATTCTTTTTTATTTGCTCTTTTGTTGTTTATGCTTGTTTAAAAAAAAAAAAAATTAAAAAGAAATTTAATTTAAAAGTAAAATTTAGTAAAAAAGAGCCCAAAAATGAATTATCCGAAAATGATAAAACAAAACAATTAAAACGATATAATAATGAAATAAAAGATCGATTTATGGACAATGCTAATGAGTTAAAGCAATGCGACAAAAGTATGATAATAATATTTATTAATCGATGAAATAAACACTTTGATAGTATATTTCACCAATTTATTTTTTAGTATAAATAAGAGGAAGAGAAAATTATTATTGCATATAAATTTAAATGATATAATAATTTTTAGAATTACAAACATCACACGTACGTTATCATCGAAAAGTGACACGTGATTATGCTGTATCACCTGATAATACTTTACGTGAAGTGAGAGAAATTTAATAATGAAATTTACATCGTTTTTTTTTTTTTTAATTTTTGCATTATATAAAATGGAAATAATTAACTTATCGATTTATATTATTGAATATAACGTAAATTTCTCATCCTAAAAGCTAAAATTTTCTAATTCTTAACTTTTTCTTTTTTTTTTTTTTGCTAGCAAAATTAATTTATTTTTTTTTATTACTTTAAATTGTTAAACAGTTATATTTTTCAATAAAAAAAAAGCTTAAATTGATAGTACCAATAATGTAAGTTTTATTTCAGATAACTGGTGACATGCCAAATTTGGAGCTAAAGCATGTTTTAAGCAATGAAACAATATATACCGATGATCAACTCATGTAAACAACTTATTTTATATGAATGAGAAATAATTTAAATGTTTTTTGTAAATTAAAATTATATGACTAAGAACATAGGTACATATTTTATAATCCATTATTTATTTTAAATAATCTCAGAAAAAAAAAAAAAATTGCTCGAACAAAAAACTTCACATACTGTAAAAATTGAAAATTTCCAATAAAATTGAAAAATAAAATTGATAAATTAATGATAAGTGAATGAATTAGAAATAATTTTCTTATTTAAATTTTATACTTATTGAAAAATTGTTGGGTTTGAAATTAATAGCTATTGTATAGTTGTTTGTTATGATGTAAACAACAACAACAACAACAACAACAACAAGAGAGATTTATTGAACTTTTTACATGAAAACATAACAGACTGTCGTAATTATTATGATGTAAAAAATCATACAAATTTGCATAATTTTTCTAATGAGAACAAAGATGAAAATTTTTATAATATTTGCATGAGAATAATAAATAGTACATACATAGTTTTCATGTAAAAATAAGAATAGAAAATTACTGAGCAATCAATCATTCATATGCAAACAAACAAACAAACAAACAAAACAAACAAAACAATATAAGTTTGTATAATTTATATTTAAAAAAAAATGTGATTTGGTAGTATCTATGCAGAAGAACTGATAGAAATTTGCATAATTTTTTATAATTGACAGCAAAGAGTGAAAAAAAAAAAATATTTCACACTAATGTTAAAAGAAAACAGAAAGAAATTGAAACAATAATAAAGTTTTGATGATACAAAAGAAACAAAGACTGATATTTACTGCAACAAAAACTGATAAAGTTACTATCATCAGATAAGTTTATCATCAGATAAGCATCATTATCATATGTACAACGAATATTTAAGTGACACTTTGTTGCTAATTTTGTGAAATCAATAAAAATTACAAAACTTTATCATAAAAAAGAAGGAAAATCATCGCTTCATTTCTCCTTTTTTATCAATTTTTTATTCATTAATTTGAGTTAATTCTATCCAAAAAAGTACTAAAACGTTATTTAAAAAAAAAAAAAAAAAACAATAAGAAATTTCAAAATCTAAAGAATCACTCTTTCTCTTCAATGCAAAAATTTAACATCAACAAAAAAAAAAAAAAAAAAATTGAAAAAAAGGAGAGAATATTATTTGAAATGCTATGAGAAGCTAAAGTGATGCAAGTACTTCTTCATACCAACCAATTATGAACATAATTAAGAAACCTAAGATAAAGCCAATATTTTGAAGAAACAATGTCACATACCATTTGTCATTCATCGATGCTGATTCCTTTTTCAAATGTATTAACTGCAAAAAAAAAAAAAAAAATGCTTTTAATTTTAAAGTTCTCATTTCAAAAAAAATAGAAAAGATTATACAACTTTTGAAATCAATTCAAATTGACTTAAATTAAATACTCGTCTTTTTACTTACTTAATTACAATGTAAAATCAAAACTCTAAAAATTGAAATTTTATGTCACATTGATAAGATATTAGGATAAGAGAGAATTAGCATACCATATCAAGCCAAGCAACATACAGGAACATTCCAGCTGTAATGGCCAACAATATCTCCACAGCACTGTCCACACTAATTGCTGCTAGGCCAACAAATAGGCCCGCAAAAGCAGTTAGAGAAGAAAGAAAATTCAGCAACATGGCACGAGGAATGGAAAGGCCAGATTCAATTAAAACAGCGAAATCACCTACAATTAATGAAAAAGTTTTTAGAATTTAATTTGCAAAAAAAAAAAAAAAAAAAAGAAATCTAAAATATTTGAATAAATTCAGTACTGTAAACAAAAATTACGATGTAAAAAGCGATATGAATAAAAATAAAATTAGAACCTAATTCATGCGGTAGTTCGTGACATGCGACAGCAATGCTTGTAGCTATACCAAATGGATTTGAAACAACAAAACTTGCACCAACAGCAATACCATCGATGAAATTATGAATTGCATCACCAAAAATGATCACAAATGCAGCACTTTTAAGGCCACACATAACTACTGGTTCATCAGCAATACCAGTAACATGGCCATAGCCACTATCAGTACTCTTGTCACTTCCACTTTAATATTTATTTCTTTTATTTTTTTTTTTTTAAATTAATATTAAGAATAAATAAAAATTTATTTTAAAAAATTTTCGAATATATTTAAACAAACAAAAAATAATGAAAAGAATGACATATGAAATTCAAAAAATGATTTGAATTATTGAACGATGATAAATACGATTAGAAATTTGATAAATATTTTAATAATGAAGAAACTATCTTTCTGTATAATAGTGTAACTGATTATATCCAACTAATAAGTTTAAATGTTTTTAGTTATACTAATTTCATCTTTAGGAGTTATTATAAGTAATTATTTTTTTTCACTTACGTTTCACCATCTGACCAAGCATTATGTGATACAGCGAAAGTTTTTGCAGCTTTTGTAGCTTTCTGAAAAAAATATTCAACAAAGTTTTAAAATCCGTTTTTTTTTTCTCTTTTCAAAAAAAAGAAATTACATATTTTTGTTACTTACATTTTTTTTTCTACACATAGGTGAAGCACTAATGAATTCCAATACATACAGAATGTACACAGCTCCAATTACAGCTGTCATTTTAAGCAACATTGAATGATCATTGGAGTGAACTACTTCATCTTTAGATTTCTAGAAATATTGCGAGACATTGATTATGATTATGATACACAGATATTAAAATATAGCAATGATTTTCATTAAAATGAAAGTTTATCAAAAAAGTAGCAGTTTGATATTTTTGATAAATCTCGATCAATAGTAGTGTTAATAAATCAAAATGTAACCTTGTGACCCTGATGATGATGATGATCTGAATGGTTGTGATCGTGACGACGATGATGATGATGGTGATCCGAATGATTGTGATCGTGATGATGATGATGATGATCAGAATGATTATGTTCCATTTGAAGATTAATTGGATCGTGATCCGAATGATTGTGATCGTGATGATGATGATCAGAATGATTGTGTTCTATTTGAAGATTAATTGGATCGTGATCCGAATGATTGTGATCGTGATGATGATGATCAGAATGATTGTGTTCTATTTGAAGATTAATTGGATCGTGATCCGAATGACTGTGATCGTGATGATGATGATCAGAATGATTGTGTTCTATTTGAAGATGAGTGGGATCGTGATCCGAATGATTGGGATGATAATGATGATCCAAATGGTTGTGATCATGACGACGATGACGATGATGATGATCCGGATGACTATGATCGTGATGATGAATATGGTCGTGATCCGAATGATTATGATGGTGGTGATCCGGATGACTGTGATCGTGATGATGATCCGGATGACTATGATCGTGACGATGAATATGGTCGTGATCCGAATGATTATGATGGTGATGATGATCCGGATGACTGTGATCGTGATGATGATCCGGATGACTATGATCGTGACGATGAATATGGTCGTGATCCGAATGATTATGATTGTGATGATGATCCGGATGACTGTGATCATGATGATGATGATGGTCCGAATGATTGTGATCATGACGGCGATGACGATGATCGTGACCCGAATGATTATGATCGTAATGATGATGATCCGAATGATTGTGTTTCATTTGAAGATGAATATGGTCGTAATCCGAATGATTATGATGGTGATGGTGATGATGATGATCCGGATGACTGTAATTGTGATGATGATCTGGATGACTGTGATTGTGATGATGATCCGGATGACTGTGATTGTGATGATGATCCGGATGACTATGACCGTGATGATGATCCGAATGATTGTGTTTCATTTGAAGATGAATATGGTCGTGATCCGAATGATTATGATAGTGATGATGATAATCCGGATGACTATGATCGTGACGATGAATATGGTCGTGATCCGAATGATTATGATTGTGATGATGATCCGGATGACTGTGATCGTGATGATGATCCGAATGATTGTGTTTCATTTGAAGGTGAATAGGGTCGTAATCCGAGTGACGACGGTGACGATGATAGTGATCCGAATGGCTGTGATCATGAAGATGATAGTGATCCGAATGATTGTGATGATGATAAATCGAATGATTCTGTTCTATTTTAGTGTGACTGTGACCGTGATGTCCATGATCGTGGTGCAGATGATCATGTACTCCAACTACCTTAATAATTTAAAACAATGATTTAAGTTCAGCAGGAAATTAATTTAATCATAATTATTATACCACTTAAAAAACTTCCAATCGTGCAAAAGACATAAATTTCTACCTGAATGATAATTTCTAATTATTCAGGGAATATCAGCAGCCAGAAGTCGATCTTATCTTACCCGCATTATTGGTAATGGGAAAATAATACCTGTGGTAAAATATGAAGTAAAGCATCTGAGCTCAATGTTGAAACAGCCAAAGCAATAAATACTTGCATCCATCTATTTCGCCATTTACCTTTGATGAAAGGTATAAATATAAGGCCAGTTAGTGATAACAACGATATTATCGTAATCGATGTACAACCATAGAAAATGGCTGAAATTTTGAGATAAAATCAAAAATGAAATTTTTTAAATCAAAAATAAAATTTTTTTTAAAAATAAAACTTTTAAAAAATATGAAAATAAAAAAGCATACTTTCAGACTTTAAAACACTTCCACTATTCATAATTATTGAAAATAATTCAACAGTTGCAGTAGTATTCGTAGTTTCGATGGAATGAAACTACAAGACACTCTTTTGTAAATCTTTGATAAAACCTAAAATTTTAAATAATTAATAGAAATTTAGGCCTAATAATACAGATCGAAATGGCAACATGTACAATAACATTTGTTGTGTTTTTATTTGATAATATTTTCTATGAATTCATCGTGATGGTATCAATTGGGAACTTTAGACGAATAAATAATGAATCTTAAGACTTGCTACCCTATAAAACAAAATTTTAACATATACTAATTCTATTCTTTCTTGGATAAGAAGAAAATCATTTTATCATTAAAAAAGAGATTCCGCAGTGATAAAAATGATAAAAATACTTTAAAATAATCAACAAAAACCTAAAAGAAATGATATTACTTTTAATCAAAACAGTATTATAGCATGTACTATGTAGATTGATGACATCAATTTACATAATTGATGACAATAAAATGATGAACTTCATAGTCACAAACGTAAGAATGCCGAAAAGACACGTAAGTAATCCGTAAGAAAGAAACGTGGACACACGCTAGAGATAGCGTCAAAGTATAGAATGAATAATGATGAAAATATTTCATTTATATAAATATGGGAAGAGAAGAAGCGATGAGATTTGCAGTATAAAAAACAATTGAAGGTATAATAGGCGGGTGGGTAAGTTAGAGGGAATGTCATAGGTAAATTGATGAAGAGTCTTTATTAAGTGTAACACTACCTGTTACCTGAGGAAAACAGAAAAAGTTCTGAGATAATTAAAATTTGAGCGGGCTTTTTTTTTTTTTGTACCATTAGTGGGAAGGTCAAAGGTAAATATATTGTAAAGATGGAAGGCAATTGAATGTCTAAAAAAGAAGTAACAAATATTTGTTATCAAAATAAAATAGAATATTTTTCTATTTAAAAAAAAAAAAAAAAAAAATTATTCTATTTTATTTTGATAACAAATAATTTTTTTTTTTTTTTTTCCAAAAATATTCTAATCAGTATACTGCATAGAAGTTTAGGAAAATTTATCACATTATGATAATGTGATAAGGAAAAAAAAAAATTTTTTTTTCGAAATAATCAAAATTTAGGTAAATTTTTTTTTTCTTTTTTTATGAGAAAGAATAGTAAAGCATTCATGTAGAGAATGATAAAATTGGATAAAAGTAAAAAAGTTATCAAATCAAGATAGAATAATTATCAGGTAACTCTCTCTCTCTCTCTCTCTCTCTCTCTCTCTCTCCCTCTCTTATAATTGATGATATTAAATGAAAATTTTAAAATTAAAATGCAAAAAAATTAAAAAATGTAATATTTACTTAAAGCAAAAACACGAACACACGTCAAAGACAACTGCAAAGTAAAGAATGAATAATGATGGAAATTTTTTGTTTATATAAGGTAAGGAAGTGAGATGCACATTTACAGTATATAAAAAAACAAATTGAGGTTATAATATGGGCGGGAAGTAGAGGGAGAAATATAAAGTAAAGTAACAAGTAACAAATACGATTTGTCATCTGACGAAAACAACAAATTTTTTTTGCGACAATCAAAATTTGAGCGGAATTTTTTGCAAAGTTTGGCGCGGGAAGGTCAAAGGAAATAGATTTTTGTATGAATGAATGAATGGAAATGAATGCTTAAAGGAAAAGTAATACTGATTTGTTATTATCAAATAATCAATCGATTCATACAGATATTTAATTATCATTGACTAAAGAGAATTCTGTGTGAAAATGCAAAAGAAGTAAGAAATCATATTGTTTTAAAATTTTACAAATTATAGAATTCGTAATCCTTTCAAAAAATTTCTATGGATAGTATTTTAGGATAAAAAAAAAAAACTTTAGTATGATGAATTTAGCCAATCTGTTTAATTAAACTTTACACTATTAATAATTGAAGCCGATGATTTTGTGATTGTGAAATTTGAAATTTGTTTTTTTATTTTTGAAATCGCAATCACCATACTCAGTCAGTATCATTGGCCAAAAATCCTCACGTGAGATAATACCTTACGTGAAATGAAGTACTTCACGGAATTTATTCAATTTAAGGTTTTTTTTTTTTTTTTTTTAAGTCAAACAAATTAAAATATTGAGTGTTAGATGAATATGTGATGGCATAAATTTTTTTTTTGTATTTTTTTAAGTTCTATTATTTCTAACTTTTTTTTTTTTTTTTTTATTACTCTAAAGCTAATGATGATTGTTTGTCTCATTCCTCAAATTATGTTCATATGGAATTAAGGGATGTAAATCTAACAGATTGAAAGGTCAAAGTGCACTTGAAATTTGGAGGGATAAATGTTTTTGCAGAAGTTCCGTAATTATTTGTTAATACTGAAAGTAATTCTTGTCACCTTTTGCAATAAAAATTTTCATAATTTTTTTACAGTGTAAACAATGAATATGAATTTGTTTATTTAGAAACATAATGAAATGTACATTTATTACATTGTAAACAACAAAGAAGAATTGAAAATTCAAACGATAATAAAAAAAAAAACTTGCACAGATTTAAATTTTCATAAGAAAAATAAATGTACAACGAAAATTAATAAAATTTTTTTATCAAATCAGATAAGGCTAATTATTATCATTGTGAAATATACAACGATATTTAAATGATTCGTTATTGTTATGATAATTTGCTAATTTTGTGGAATCAATGAAAATTATTCATTAATCTGAGTTAATTCTACTCAAAAAAGATTATTAAAAAATTTTGTAGTATAAAAAAAAATATATATATAAAAAGTTATTAAAAAAAAAACTATAAGAAATTTCAAAATCTAAAGAATCACTCTTTCTCTTCAATGCAAAAATTTAACATCAACAAAAAAAAAAAAAAAAAATTGAAAAAAAGGAGAGAATATTATTTGAAATGCTATGAAAAGCTAAAGTGATGCAAGTACTTCTTCATACCAACCAATTATGAACATAATTAAGAAACCTAAGATAAAGCCAATATTTTGAAGAAACAATGTCACATACCATTTGTCATTCGTCGATGCTGATTCCTTTTTCAAATGTATTAACTGCAAAAAAAAAAAAAAAAAATGCTTTTAATTTTAAAGTTCTCATTTCAAAAAAAATAGAAAAGATTATACAACTTTCAAAATCAATTCAAATTGACTTAAATTAAATACTCGTCTTTTTACTTACTTAATTACAATGTAAAATCAAAACTCTAAAAATTGAAATTTTATGTCACATTGATAAGATATTAGGATAAGAGAGAATTAGCATACCATATCAAGCCAAGCAACATACAGGAACATTCCAGCTGTAATGGCCAACAATATCTCCACAGCACTGTCCACACTAATTGCTGCTAGGCCAACAAATAGGCCCGCAAAAGCAGTTAGAGAAGAAAGAAAGTTCAGCAACATGGCACGAGGAATGGAAAGGCCAGATTCAATTAAAACAGCGAAATCACCTACAATTAATGAAAAAGTTTTTTGTAATAAATAATTTAATTAAAAGTGAACGAAATGAAAAATAGAAAATATTTGCAAAAATACAAATAATTTGTAAAATTTAAGAAAATTTGAATAAATTCAAAATTTATAAACGATAAAAAAAAAACAAAACAAATGATGGAAAATAACCTAATTCATGCGGTAATTCATGACATACAACAGCGATACTTGTTGCTACACCAACTTGGTTTGAAATAGCAAAACTTGCACCAACAGCAATACCGTCGATGAAATTATGAATTGCATCACCAAAAATGATCACAAATGCAGCACTTTTAAGGCCACACATAACTACTGGTTCATCAGCAATACCACCAATGGTACCATGAGTACCATGAGTACCAGTGTTGATACTATCAGTACTTGTTTCGTTTTCACTTCAATACTTTTTGTTTAAATTCTTTTTTTTCTCTCATAAGAATGCTTTAATATTAAAAAAAAAAAATAAAAATTAAATTAAAACAAAATCTTGTTTTGAAATTGATTCCTTTACATCATTTAAATGTGATTTGTGATGAATGAAAAATTAGAAATTTGATATTTTGATAACAACGAATTATCTTTCTGTTTCTGTTAGCACAGCAATTTTATATAAAATTTGATAATTGATAACTAATATGATTGATTATGCACAATTAATGCAACTAATATAATTCACCTAATATTCGCCTTATAATGAGTTTGATATTTGTTAATTATAAAAAGTAATAATTTCTTTTAATTTACCTTTTAGAATTAGACCAAGCATTTTGTGGTGTCGAAGAGATCTTTCTAATTCTTGTTGTCTGCTGAAATTACTTCATACAATTTAT